CTGCCCAGGCGGGTCTCGAACCTGCGGGCTCAGGCAATCCACTCACCTCAGCCTCCCAAAGGCGCGGAATGACAGGCTGAGCCACCGAGCCCGGCTTGCTGTCCTTTTTTCTTGGCTTGTTTTCTCAAGCTACAATGTCTAGGAGCCCTCGCCCGGACCTACTGATCTGTGACTTTTTAATACATATATGTTTGTTGATTATTCTTATTTAGAGATGTTTCAGTGCTTTATCCTGGGGTCAGAAGTGATAGAATCCAGGCCCCTGGGTATGCGAGGGGTGGCAGGGTGGCGAGAAGAAACCTCTCGGCAGCATAGGCTTGGTGACCTGATCATAGCTCACTGTGATCTCGACCTCCTGGGCTCAAGTGACCCTCCTGCTTCAGCCTCCCGAGTAGCTGGGACTACAGGCACGCACCGCCACACCCAGCTAATTTTTAAAATTTTGTTTTTGTAGAGCAGGGTTGCATCATGTTGCTCAGGCTGATCTCAAACTCCTGGCCTCAAGCAAGCCTCCTGCCTCCTTGGCCTCCTAATTTCCCCCTCATTTCTTAGTGCTGTTATGATTTCATTTTTAACCCCTGCATTGCAGGAGAATATTGGGAGACCGGGCCTCCTGTCATGAACTAGAAGCCAGCGTTACTTTTTTTTTTTTTGAGTCAGAGTCTTACTCTGTCGTCCAGGCTGGAGTACAGTGGCACGCTCATGGCCACTGCAGCCTTGATTTGCTGGGCTCAGGCGATCCTTCCACCTCAGCCTTCCAAGTAGCTGGAACTACAGGCATGCGCCATCCTCTCACCTCGGCCTCCCAAAGTGCTGGGATTATAGGCATGCCTAGGGCTTGTGTCTTAATGCAGCTGGTGCTTGAGGTTGGTGGTGATGAGCCTTAATTAGCAACAAAAGTGTGGGTTTGCTATACTTCAGAAGGAGCAGAGACATTTTTATTTATTTATGTATTTATTTTTGAGACGCATTCTTGCTCTGTCACCCAGGCTGGAGTGCAGTGGCAGGATCACAGCTCACCGTAGCCCCGACCTCCTGGGCTCAGGCGATCCTCCCACCTCAGCCTCCCAAATGACTGGCACTCCAGGCACGTACCCACCATGCCTAGCTAATTTTTTAATTTTAATTTTTTTTTGTAGAGATGAAGTCTTGCTGTATTGCCCAGGCTAGTCTCAAATCCTGGGATCAGGCAGTTCTCTCACCTCAGCCTCCCAAAGTTCTGGGATGACAGGCGTGAGCCACCACATGCAGCCTGAGAAAGATTTCAGCTACTTGGAATCACGTAGACCAGGTTTTTAACTGCAGCTCTGCCCATGCCTGGCTCAGCCGGGGCCACGTGATTCCTGGAGCTCTGCACTCCCTGAGTCGTGCCCTCTGAGGCCCGTTACCCACCAGCTGGTGCTGCTGCCTCCACTCTTGGCCCTGCGGTCCTCAGGTCTTCACCTCTCTGCGGGTCTGGTCACGACTCTCCATCGGGCCATGTGCTCTCTTACCTGCTCTTCCAGCACTTATTCTCATTGCGATTGTGTGTTTACTATATGATGGCTTATTTGACAGTTTCTTTCGACAAATATTTTTCTTTTTCTTTTTTGAGTCGGGGTCTCACTCTGTCACCTACACTGGAGTGTGGTGGCACAATTGTGGCTCACCCCAGCCTCAACCTCCTGGGCTCAGGCGATCTTCCTGAGTCAACCTCCCAAGCATCTGGCACTACAGGTGCACACCAACACACCCAGCTAATTTTTTAAAAATTTATTGTAGAGACAAGGTCTTGCTGTGTTGTCCAGGCTAGTCTCGAGCTCCTGGGCCCAAGCAGTCTTCCCACCTGAGCCTCCCAGAGTGCTGGGGCTGCAGGTGTGAGCCACTGCGCACAGCCGACAAATATTTTGCAAGTATTTAATGAATATCCTGACTGTAAGCCTCATGAGGGCAGAGTAAGGACTGGGTTGGTCTGGGTTCCGGATTCCCTTGACCACCTGCTGCCAGCTTAGCCATCAGGAGCACTTAAATAGCTGCTGGACGAACACAAAACAGAGCTGGCAATGTCTCCCGGGGTGCAGGCCCCACTGAAGTCAGTGTGGCGCTGGGCCTGCCACAGCCTGGCCGGCCGCTGTCTGCACAAACAGCTGCTGTGGACACAGACAGGCCCAGTTCTGCTTCCCCACTCACAAGGTTGGTGACCCCATGTAGGCGCGTCATGCCTCTGACTTGTGTTCTGTGAAATGGAAAGAATAGCAACCACCTCCTCACAGTGCCTCTGGAGTGTCCCTGTGACAACGACAGTGAGGCCTTCGGCTTCCAGCTGTTGCTCAGGGTGGGGGCACTGTTGGGGAGGCTTCAAGGGACCAGGCGGGGTCGGAAGGCTCCACAGAGAGGTGTGGGGAGACGCTCCCCTGACACCAGGGCCGTCCTGGCCTCTGGGCACCACACTCTCAGGACATGCAGGCTTCCAGTGTGTTGGCTCTGTTGTGAAAGAACCATTGGGAGCATCATGACCGTGTGTCCTCGAATAGTTGAATCATATTCAGCCAAATCAGACAACCTGTCAAATACCATAAGATGCCTGTTCAGCAAGGGGCAATGTCAGCCTAGAGTCCAGATGTGGTGCTCACAGTGGCACTGTGTCCCTGGGATCTGTTGGGGGTGGCAGCTCTGCCCTTCCAGCCCGTGCCTGGACTCAGCGTTCTGTGCAGGTGGAACAGGCAGGTGGCTACAGGAAGCCTTTTTCACGTCTTCTGATTTACAGAGTTGAAAGAGTCACGTGTGAGTGCTTGGCACATGCAGTAAACCTCTGTGCAGGAGCGTGGGAAAGCCAGCACGTCCAGCCCTGTGTCTCACGTCTGGGTTCTCTTACTTACTTTTTGGCCACGTTACCCTGACTGTGCCTTTGCCAAGAAATGGTTTATTTTATGTAGAGGCAACCATCAGCATTAATGCGAATGTTAGTGGAGAAGGGCTCAGACCTACTGTGACCAGTGGTGTGCCTTTGTTCCAGGCTCAGCAGAACAGCCCCTCGTCCACGGGATCTGGTACCACCGAGCATTCCTGCAGCTCCCAGAAGCAGGTTTCCATCCAGCATAGACAGACACAGGTAGGTATGGCTGTGCTGGGCGGTCGGGGCCCGCTGGGCTCCCTGGCTTCATGGTAGAGCTAAGCCTGTGTGTCACAGCCAGAACTCGCATGATGGTGAAGCCCTGGGGAAGGGGCCTTAGCCCCTCGGGCTGTTCTTCACCCCCTGTGTCGGTAGCGGAAACGCTCCAGCCGAGTCTGCAGCAGAGGAGAGCACAGTGCATGGAAGGCCTGGCCAGGCTGGCGCGGCAGCTCAAGCTGTGTCTTGTGGAACTTGGGTTTCCTTAGTCAAGTTGTCTGTAAACCCAGGGCCGAATCACATGATCTCAGACAGCAGAGACAAGGGGGGACCCAGAAAAACCCAGAGTTATCTTTTGGAGGGCAGACCCCTTGTGGTACTCTCGGCATTTGTTTCCTCAGATCAAATGATCAACCAAAGCTTTTATCTACAAGTTTTGAGAAGGTTGTGTCATGATTTGTGGAAGAAACGTCCTGAGTTGTGGCCGAAGGTGACTGGTCCTTCCACCATGACAACGCACTGCCCACACTGCACTGAGTGTTCAGCCATTTTTTACTAAAAACTGCATGATGCCCTCCTGATTCGTCTGATCTCTCCCCGAGAGACTTGTGTTTGTTTTCCTGGATGAAAAAAGTTCTCCAAGGAAAACGTTTTCCCCATGTGAAAGAGGCGAAACAAAAAACGGCAAGAGGCACTAAAAGGCATCCAAAAGGATGAGCTCAAAAACAGTTTTGAGCAGTGGAAAAAACATCTGGATAGGTGTATTGCATCCAGCAGAGAGTCCTTTAAAGGTGACTGGAATTTGAACATGTAGGAATAAATACACAATTTTTTATAAGTAAATTCTGGGGTTTTGGGGTCCCCCTCGTACTGAGCTGTGGTTGCGGTTGGCTTTCAGCAGATGTCAGTCCTCTTGTGAGTGGCAGTTGTCATTTATGCCTTGCACATGCTTGCTTCCTTGCAAGACGTGGCTGGACTCCACTAAGAGGCAGTGTGCTGGTGTGAGGGACTCACAGCCTTCAGACACTCTTCAGTGGGGCGGGGTGGGGGAGCAGTGCTGTTTGCTCTGGAGTCCCCGCTGCAGGGTGGAAGGCACAGGCCCCACTGGCAGCGTTGAGTTGGCCGGGTCGAGACTGGGTCTCCTTGCGGCCTCTTCAGTGTGGTCTTCAGATGCCTGGGGACCGAGAGGCATCGCTCAAACCCCAAGAGCTACCCAGGTTTTATTTTTACTTCGTTTTGAGTTGGAGTCTCATTCCATTACCCAGGCTGGAGTGCAATGGCCACTCCCAGCCACCGCAGCCTTGACCTGCTGGGCTCCAGCGATCCTTCTGCCTCAGCCTTCCGAGTAGCTGGAACCACAGGCACGCACTACCATGCCCAGCTAATTTTTGATGTTTTGTAGAGATGAGGGCTCGCCAAGTTGCTGGGGCTGGTCTCGAACCCTCAGGCTCAGGCAGTCTACTCGCCTCGGCCTCCCAAAGTGCTGGGATGACAGGCTGTGCCACCGAGCCGGGCCTACCCAGGTTTTCATTGTCTTGGGACCGGCAGGACATGGCCTCCCCACCGCCTGCTCTGTCTCCACTAGGTGGCAGGCGTGCTCTTTGGGATCGGCCGAGTCCTGTGGCTTCCTTTTCTGTTCACAGTTCTTTCCATTTCGTTTCGCACGTTCCTGTGTTGTTCAGTGTACACTAACGTGAGGATTTGTGTACTTGACTCCAGAATGAACACGCGTGTAAAGTGCAGATGTGAGGGGCTCCAAGATGCCGCTAGGGCGTGGGGGTGGGGGAGAGGCAGGCTGTGTCTCTTGTGCCCTGCGGCTGTTTGTGCCGCAAGTGCCGGTTCTGTGAGTCCGGTTCTGTGAGTCTATGGCCAGCTGACATTAGGCCTAAATCTGCTCTGCCTTTGCCTCTGCAGTCTGACCTCACAATAGAAAAAATCTCTGCACTCGAAAACAGTAAGAACTCGGACCTAGAGAAGAAGGAGGGGAGGATAGATGACTTGCTGAGAGTAAGTAATGAAGTGCGGTAAGAGAGTTCTTACGTGCGTTCGGATTAAGTACATGCCGTCGAAACATGAGAAGTTAAATAAAAACCATTTGGCTGTTTTCCTTTGACTCACGAACTCTGAGTAGGAGTCTGGGTGATACCTACATTCTAAACACGATCTTTAAATTAGAACTCTTACAGTTTTTTAATGTTTGAGTTTATACCAGAGAAGTAGATACATGGAATGTTGTATTTCATCTACAACTGTGGAATAGGTTTGACATTTTGTTTTCGTATTCCAGATAAGTTATTTTAATGTTACTGAATTTTTTTAAACTATTTTCTTTTTTTTTTTTAATTAGAGTCTCACTCTGTCACCCAGGCTAGAATGCAGTGGCATGCTCATGGCCACTGCAACCTCAACCTGCTGGGCTCAGGCGATCCTTTCGCCTCAGCTTTCCAAGTAGCCAGCATTACAGGCACGCATTACCACGCCCGGCTAGTGTTTGTGATTTTTTGTAAAGACGAGGTCTCGCCAAGTTGCCCGGGCTGGTCTAGAACCCGTGGGCTCAGGAAGTCCACTCGCCTCACCCTCCCAAGGTACTGGGATTACAGGCTGAGCACCAAGCCTGGCCTATTGAAGTTTTTTATATTTACAAGAGAAACTTTTGAAATACCTAGTCTGGAATTAGGTACCTCTGAAAAATATACCGTGGCATTTAAAAAATATATTCTGAATATGCAATTCGGGATGACCGGCTCATTCTTTTAAGAAAGTAAAAAGCACTATTGTTTTTCTGTTATGAAAGTTATTCATGCTCTTTAGAGAATGCAGAAAAATTTGTCACCCCAGTTCCGTTAACGACGACTGTTTTCTGAGTGGAATTGGCCAGCCTCTGTGTCTGCTCCAGTGATGTAGGGAGGCAGGTGTGGTTGCTGACCGACTGACTGGGCCTCAGAGCCTGAAGGGCCAACACAACCACAGGGCCACATCTTTGCTTTTGTCGCCTTTCCTTAGAGGCCTTCTGGGCATACTTTTGTGAAATAAAGGGATCTGTTTGGCAGTAAGGATAATAAAAGCCACCACATGCGTGGTTCTGTGCCCTTCCGAAGATGTTTAATTAATAAAAGTATAGTGTAAGGTTGTTTGGTCTTACTCCCTGTTATGTAAAACCTGCTGGCAAGCACACTGCCAAACTGTAAGTCTGGCCCGTATGGCAAAGTCCAGTTTGTTTATGTTGTTATTAAGTTATTGCTTGTCGTGTTTTACAGGAGAGTTTCTTATATTTATAGGTAGCTTTATGACCAAGTTTCAGTAATTGACTGATTTCAGAGCTCATTAACAGTATTTAAAAAAAACCAAAGTAGTAATTTTTACATTTTTGCCTTTTTGTTTCACCTGTTGATAGACTGGTGTATTTTTAGTAATTATTTTTCAGCAAGAGTGTGTCGGGGTTAAGTTTTCTGTGTGCTCACAGAGCTGAGAATGCTTTCTCCTGTCCTTGCACGTAAAAGCATGGGGGGGGGGGGGTTCTGTGTCACATCTGTTGTCTGGTGTAGCACACATGCCCTTTTAATTTTTTTAGCATTTAATGTTTCAGAGAAGTTCGTGACCAAAGGAACAAACCCTGTACTCTATTACACTTTGCCTGGTATATCTATATGTGGTCTTTGTATTTTTTGTTCTGGAAGTACATAATTATTGCTTTCACCCTTTTTTTCACATTTTTTGTTCTGATCATGCATAATTATTGCTTTCACCCTTCTTGTATTGGTTTCTTCTTTTGTTCCTAGCCTGATTCTCTGGTTTGTATCCTTTACTTCCAACACGTTATGCCTCATTTTAATGTGCCTCATTTTAATGAATCTCGTCAAACATTCACTTTGTCTTCATATATTTTTTGCAGTTTACTGAGGCGCATGTGAATCTTGATTCTGTTATTTACAGTTTTTATTAACCCACTCTTTTGTTTTATCTAGTCCACTTTGTTATCTCGCCCTGTGTATTCTTCAGGGTTTTGCCTCCTGGTTTAGAGATATCATGTCTTTTTACATTTTACAGAGTACGACAAAGAAGTATTCTAAAACGTTCTTTTGATTTCTGTAGATGATCATTTTTACTGTTTTCAAGCTGATATTCTCTTTTCTTATTTGTGTGTTTGTTTGAGTCGGGAGTCTGACTCCGTCACCTAGGCTGGAGCACAGTGGCACAATCACAGCTCACCTCCGCCGTGACCCCCTAGGCTTTAACAGCTCTCCTGCCTCCGTCTCTTGAGCAACTGGGACTACAGGCACGCACCACTACACCTGGCTGCCTTTTTGATTTTTGGTAGAGATGAGGCCGGTCTTGAACTTCTGGGTTTTAAGTGATCCTCCTGCCTCGGCTTCCCAAAGTGCTGGGATAACAGGTGTGAGCCACCACGCCTGGTCTTATTTCGTATCTAGAAATGATTCCTTAGGCCTGACTTTGTTTCCTTCGGCTCCGAGTGAGAAGAGCCATGTGGAGACTCAGGGCCTGTCTTGCGTTGTTGCGTGGTTTGTTGCTTGCATAGACACTCGCTCCCAGTTGCCTTCATTGCTGTTCTTGCTTACTTGGGTGCTGGTCGAGTTGCCATCTAGGACTTACAATGAAATAGTTACTGTGGGCTCAACTTCCTGCCACATTCCAGTGTCTGGCAGGTTTGGGTCCAGAGCAGTTCTGCGGAGCTGAGCAAGTACTGTGGGCGTCCTACCCCTTCACCGTCTAGCCGTGTTTAGGAGGGTGTAGAAACCTCGCACCTACTTGCTCCTGCCTGTTGGACGTCAAGTGGTGCTGCCTTGCATTTTCTGGGGCCTCACCGCTGCCCTTGGCTGCATCGTCTACTGGTGGCAGTCGCCATCTTTGGGTACAGAGCAGCACTGCAGGAGGGCGATATCAGAGAGGACGGCAGAATGGCACTGCTATGGTTCACGTGGGCCAGGAGTGGGTCTCGAGACGGTCTGGAAGATGGCCAGTGGGGAGAACCACAGGTCACATCATCTTTCAGGCAGACCCAAATCCTTCACTGAGCTTCTCCATTGTGGGGGGATGCTGTCTGGGCCTGCAGGAGGGATGCTAGCCAGCTGCAACTTGGGGCGTGAACTCCTAGAGGCATTCCTGCCGGAAGCCACCAACATTTGGGATTCTTAGGATTTCAAGTAAACCGCTGGAAGCTGATGGGTTCCATCCATTTGATTAGAGATTTCTGTTTTGGGGGGTTTTTTTGAGTCAGGGTCTCACTTTGTTGCCCAGGCTGGAATGCAAGGGCACACTCACAGCCACCGCAGCCTCCACCTACTGGGCTCAGGCGGTCCTTCCCCCTCAGCCTTCCAAGTAACTGGAACCACAGGGAACATTCACTTTCCAGGACTAGACAGGACTTCATAGAAACCTGAGAAGATTTCCCCATGTAACTGCCTCTGCTAAGGTGGTTCGTGGGACTCTCTCAGAGGCTGCCGGGAGAACTTTATGCTTGTGAGGAGAGCAGAAGCGCTTGGAGGTGAAGGCTGGTTCATAGGGTTTGCTTTAACAATGAGGCCAGTCTGCATGGTGACTCATGCCTGTCATCCCAGCAACTGGAATTGGGCAGGATTTTCCACTGACCACACTTTGCTTCTCCCTGTAACCAGTCTCAGCTAGTCTTGCACATCAGATGCCTGAGCTATCACAAAATAAAATAAAAATGTACAAACCTGCAACGAATGTCGAAAATACGTGTTAGGGGTGATTAAGCACTTGCAAGAAAACGACAGAACTTTTTAAAAACCACATAATGTTCTTCAAGTTCAGTCGGGAGGTGGAGACAAGAGGATGGCCTGAGCCCAGGGTTTGACACCAGCCTGGGCAACATGGCGAGACCTCGTCTCTACAGTAAATCAAAAAAATTAGGCATGGTGGCATGCACCTGTGGTTCCAGGTACTTGGAAGGCTGAGGCGGAAGGATTGCCTGAGCCCAGCAGGTCGAGGCTGCGGTGAGCGGGAGCATGCCCTTACATTCCAGCCTGGACGATGGAGGGAGACTCTGACAAAAAAACAACAACAACAAATGAAGCTAAAGAGACAACAAACGAGTATCCTGGAATATCTTCCATTTGTGCTTTTCATGGTTTCAGAAACATTTATATCACTTACTTGGGAAATAACAGGTTTTTCTAATAATTCAAGTAAGTTGTTATAAAGTAGAATTGTTTGCCAAGAGAGTAGAGACCTTTTTGTTGTTGTTTTTTAGCACAGGAATAAATCAGGAGTTGCGAGCATTTGACTTTGGGTTAGTGGTTCTTTCCTTCTCTATTATTGAAGGAAGCTTGAATTTTTTAAAGTTTTTGTTCATCCCCTAGGCTTCTGACCACAGCCAGTTTATCTGTGTATTTACATTGTGGCATCCTTGAATCAGGACCCTGTTGGCTAGTTTGGTCTTGTGTGGGCATGGGTGTGCCTGGCATCTCTGGTGAGGAACATTTGTGTAAATTTGTTTCTTTTTCCTGAGAAGTAAAAATAGAAAACAAAGAACAAACGAACATGAAGAACATTATGTGGTTTTTAAAAAGTTCTGTCGGTTTCTTGCAAGTGCTTGATCACCCCAACATGTATTTTCAACATTCACTGTATGTTTGTACATTTTTATTTTATTTTATGACAGCTCAGGCATCTGATGTGCGAGATAAGCTGAGACTGGTTACAGGGAGGAGCAAAGTGTGGTCAGTGGAAAAACCTGCCCAATTCTAGTCACCCAGTTTATCACTAACAGTAAACGATATGTTATCACGCAAGAATAAAGAAATCACTTATGTTTTTAAAGCCATAGTTCCTCTTTCCTCTGTGAACCTTAATTTTTCTTTTGATTTAATAAAAGATATAAATAATTTTTCTCTTTCCCTAGAAACTGCTTTCCTGTTCATCTTGTCTTCCTTGGAGCTAATTGTAAAAATTGTCTTTCCATTGAAGGCCAACTGTGATTTGAGACGGCAGATTGACGAACAGCAAAAGGTGCTGGAGAAATACAAGGAGCGGCTAAACAGATGTGTGACAATGAGCAAGAAGCTCCTTATAGAAAAGGTTGGTGAATGGCACAGCCTGGCCCTGCACGCCAAGACACCTACTGTGTGTCACTTGCTGTCAGCTTCTTTTTCCTTACCTGAGACCAAAGTAGTGAAATGGGCATTTTGGGAAAAGAATTCTCAGTATTTCACAGTGAGAATCTCCTCCTGGCACAGACACCAGACCAAGCGTCCTAAGTGATGATTTGGGACTTCCTTTCTGGCTGGGCGGTGCTGACAGGGCAGCTGGTCCTAGCTGAGGTTTGGGGGTGCTGCGCTCCTGGATTACATTCTTCCCACCAGCTGAAGTGAGTGTCCTGTTACTGTCATAGTGGAATACTACTCAGCAAGGAAGAGGAATGCACCCCACTCGCACTGCAGCCAGCATGAGTCTGAGGGGCAGGACAGGCTTCTGCCCTCAGAGGCTAGCAGTCTACACGAGAGTGGCAGGGCCTACACTCCCACTTTCTATTTTATTTTATGTTATGTCCAAGATGTGGGGTTCAATTCAGGGTTGGGTATACAGATGTTCACCGTGCAGGTACCCTACACTCCCACTTGCGGGGAAGCCCGTTCAGGCGAGCAGTACGCATGCCGAGAAGCCCACTGACGGGCATTCCGGGCAGGCAGCGAGCCAAGACAGCTGCAAGGGAGAGGGTGATGTGTTCTAGACCAGGATAGCGAACGTCACAGGCGGATGTCGCCCTAACCATTGTCTCTCAGCACTTTGTTCTTTGTCTTTAAGTTCATTAACACGGTGTTTACACTTGCAGTTAATACATTCAGTGGCTGTGTCTCCTCCCCCAGCTGTAAATACCAGTTTCCCCCCGTGCTCTGTGTGTCGCGCTCGCACAGTCCCTGCCGTAGAACTGGCTGTTACTCAGTGTTCACTGAATGAGTGATGTGCCCAGGAATCAGGAGGACGTGAGGGGCCTGAAGCGGGAATTCCAAAGGGAGGCGGATTTGTCCTCCAGTGTGTGAAGGGCTGCTCCTGTGAGAACCCAGAGGGGCAGCAGAGACTTGTGGAAGAGGCAACTTCCCTGGGAGTGTGTAGAGTGTGTTTTGGTGCTTGGCGGGCCCCCTGGCACGCGCTAGACCTAGAGAAAGGGCTCGGGAGCAGGAGTTAGGCATTGCCGTTGTCCAGATGTGAGACGAGGACGGGCGGGCAGCCTGGAGGGACTTCCAGGGAGGACCTTGCCGTCCTCGGGTCCCTACCCCGCCTGCTTCGTGTGAGCCGGAGTGGCCCTTCCAGGGGTGGCTCACTGTTCCGAGGTCATGTGTGCCTGTTCAACAGTGTCTTTCCTGGTTACCCTCAATCTTTTACTTTCTGAGAAGCGTCTTTCTCCATGCTCATTGCATTACATTTTTGTCTGTTTTCCCCAAGTCAAAACAGGAGAAGATGGCGTGTAGAGATAAGAGCATGCAAGACCGCCTGCGACTAGGCCACTTCACCACCGTCCGACACGGGGCCTCTTTTACTGAGCAGTGGACAGATGGTTACGCGTTCCAGAACCTCATCAAGTGAGTGTTTCTCCACGATAAATGGAGACTTGTGCGGCTGCTTTGAGCTTATGAGGTTTTATGCAGTTGTAATTATCAATAATCCTAGTCGTGGTGGCCATCTTTTCGTTTCTTTCATTTTTAAATTTTTACTATTATTATTATTTTTAGATACAGGGTCTTGCTCTGTCGCCCCCACTGGAGTGCCATTGTGCAGAAGAATAAGAGTCACTGGCACTAAGGAGGAAAAATCGGGTTTGAACTGATGTCTTAACACATTCACGACCGGCAAATATTTCACTTTCCTAATACTGAGGGCAGGTGAAAACAAAAAAAATCTGAAGCTGGTTGCGGCAAACCTTTGTCATTAAGCACAAGTGAAATGATCTTTTCTAAATTGTCACCTTTTTCACAATACAGCTGAGAGTTGCAGACATATCCAGAATTTGCCTAAGATACCACTCTGACTGCATTCCATACTTTGTATTTTTATTCATATTATAAATTGAATATATATAATATATATTATATCTATATTTCTTTGTTTACATCATATCATTACATCGCTATCCATCTCACTATCACTAATAAGTTCCTGGATTCACTTCTGACCTTGGAAATCTCATCAGCATATATTTCTTCATTTTCTTAATTATGGTAAATTATTTTTAACATTGAAGTGTAAAAGCCCTGAAATATCAAAATACAAGTATACAACACTAATCGCAACAAAATGATGACCAACTGACAGTTTTTACCAGCTACATAAATCAATAATAATATTGCACAGTCAATATTAGATAATTATCTCAATTAACTTTCTCTCTCCCTGCCTCACTATTCATTTTCAAGCAAAATATAATCACACATACGTATGACAACATTGCCGCATTCAAAAACAGAATTTGCAAAGACATAAATTCATGTCAGCGGCAACCAGGAACAGGATTTGCAAAGATGTAAATTCAGCGATTGCGAACGATTTGTTAATTCTATAACAGATTTTCATGAGGTGTCTGTTGAGCATTTATTCTGGATCCATGAAAAAACGAGAGAGGCAGGAAGCCAAGGAAGGATTTTCTCTCATCTTTTCTTTTGGTGTTGCGGCTCACTCTGTTGCCAGGCTGGAGCACAGTGGCATGCTCACAGCACCCCACAGCCTCGATCTCCAGGGCTCAGGCAGTCCTCTTGTGTCAGCCTCCTGAGTAGCTAGAACGACAGGCGTGCCATCACACATGGCTAACTTTTTTTTTTTTTTTTTTTTTTGTGGAGATAAGGTCTCGCAGTGTTGCTCAGGCTGGTTTTGTACTCCTGGGCTTCAGCAATCCTCCCGCCTTGGCTTCCCAAAGTGTTGTGATTACAGATGTGAGCCACCATGCTTGACCAGAATTTTCTGAGGTATAAAACAGAGTGAAACCATAGGAGAACCTTATAGGGCCTGTCCCAAGACCCTCTAAGGATATGACATTCACTCATCAGGGGCAGCCACTTCCTTGGAGGCGGCAGGAACCAGCCTGTGGTGTGTGTGTCTGTCTCCAACTTGGAGTCTTGCGCCTTCCTTCTCTTATCAGCACTTTGGATTTCAGACACACAGGCATTTACTCTAAGAAGGGAATTTGCATTTACAATCCTAAAATGCCAACTGTATGAACAACCACTATTAGCTCGGGAATTTAAAAAATAAATATTTTGAGGTTGTCGTAGGCTTTGGGGCACTTGATTTATGTCTGCTTTGATGTGGTAGTCACTTCATGTGCCTTGGTGAGGCTTAAGTCAGGGGCTCTCCAGATCAGGAGGGGAGGGGCCAAGGCTGCCTCTGGCGCTGTTACTCTTTGCTGCAGTCGCTTTTTGAGTATGAATTAGAGAGCCCGGGGCTACTGGGGCTACTGCTGAGTCATAAGGGAACGTAAATAACAGCTGTAAGCCTGAAAGAAAAAAGTACAAATATTGAAGCTATTTGTAACATTTTATTGACACTAACACCCCAGTTATGTATTAGAAGGCCTTGTGAAACATTACATCCAACTTAGCTTAAGCATGTTTTGGCTTCACAGTCATACCTCAATAGTACCTGTTGGTATTTGGGGGTAAAAAGAGGCAGTTGAGTTAGAGAATACCCTGCAAGGAGAGCACAGACTTCTCTCATGCCAGGTTCCAGAGGCTCAGATCTGCCTTCTTGTCAGGCTCTGAGCACAGGTGCTGGTGGTGGCAGGGGCACTAGGCGTTTGAGCAGCGCTGTCCCGCCAGCCATTCTGTGGTTCCTGGCCAAGATGTGCATGCAGCCCTGGAAGCAGCACCCACCAGGGCCCAGATGTGTTCGAATGGAATCAGAATACAAAGTGTGAGATCCGCATGGTGGCAGAAACCATCTAAACCCGCTGGCTGACCCTCAGCTGTGAAAGGCTCTCAACGGCGACTCGTTAGAGGGGCAGCCTTTTCAGACTAACTCAGGACGGAGTGGGTTTGTTTAGAGATGGGATCGGCTGTAAAAAATGATGACAGTTTTTGCAGATGCAGTGTTTCATCTTTTACTTTGTAAGCAGCCTGGTGCACACAGGTTCTGGAACCGCCCCCCCACCTCTCTTTTGGGGGTGTTGGAGTCTCTGTTGTCCAGGCTAGAGTGCAGTGGCATACTCACGAGGTGACCTGCTGGACTCAGGTGATCCTTCTGTCTCAGCCTTCCAAGAAACTGGAACTGCGCCACCATACCTGGCTAATTTTTTTTATTTATTATAGAGACGAGGTCTCGCCAAGTTGCCCAGGCTGGTATCGAACCCCTGGACTCAGGCAGTCCTCTCTCCTCCGCCTCCCAAAATGCTAATATTTTTTTGTTGTTAAAGTAATGTCTGTGAACATGTGAATTTGTGTTACCTCCTTTTGTTTCTAGTGTGGTTTTGAAGTGGGGAATGCAGTCTTGGTGCTGGAGGAGGCTGCATTCATTTCCCAAGCAGCTGTCACGGAATACGATCAGCTGGGTGGTTTAGCAGAACAGAGATGTATTCCTTCACAGTTCAGGAGTCTAAAAGTCAGATCCAGGTCAGCATGGCCTGGCTCTGCTCCCCCATCCCTCACCTCCCCCAGCGGTGTGTGGCCCCAGGTGGTCCATGGCTTAGGCAGCTCCACCTTCACAGGTTGCCCCCCACACCCCCCCCGGGTCCCTGCCTCCCGCAGAAAGACCGGCCAGAAGCACTGGCTGCATGGGGTTAATTGGCCTTCCCTAGTCCAGTGTGACCTCACCTTAGCTAGCCGTGTCCTTTGTGACGCTCTCTGCAAATAAACTGTGTTCTAAGGTGCTGGGGTTGGGGCTCAGCACAACTGTCAGGGGACACAGCTCAGCCTGCAGCAGAGCCCAAGACGGACGTCTTGCTTCCCTTGCAGACTCTGGCTTGTTAAATCGAGTTGCTTGGGTTTGAGTGAGGTGGATTTCTTGGGTCGTCAGTACTTCTGCAGAAGACAGGAGAAAGAGCCCCCTTCCGTGGGTGAGGAAGGGCAAGCACGTCCCACAGCTAGAAGTACTAGGGATCCGCCCCGTGAAGGGCGTGTGTGGGCTGGCTGGGCTGGTTCAACACCATTCGTGTTCTAAGAGAAGTTAGGGCTTATTGGCATAATCCAGACTTGATGCTCCCTAAATAAGTCCAAGTGAGGTTCCACTGACTGACTTTTCCCCTGCCCTTCAGTCTAAGCAGTGGAGCCCTTCAGGAAACACCCATGTCGCCCTGTGATGTCTTGCACTGAGCTCTCCCCTCCTGCACACACTGGTTTTCAGGACAGCAGCTTAACAGTCCCCAGAGGCATGTCAGGATCTGGGTACCCCATGTTTATGGTGTATACGTGGTGTGTTTATGGTGTGTACCTGGCGGCGCTGGGGCTCCTTCCTTGGTAAATCTGAAGAGAGTAAATGTGTGAATTCTCCCTGAAAACAATAGAATGTCTTTGTTATTTATGTTGAATGAAAGTGATTGCTAACAATCTCAGTCTTGCTAAAGCAGCATCTTCAGAGGCTAAATGTCATGGCACTCCCAGCCACAGTGGTTTATGGTTTAAACTCCACAGTGCCTGGCCATCTCCAAGGAGCTCAACATGCCTTGCATTCACAGCCTGGATGGGCAGGAAGGAGCTGAAGATATGGCGCCAGGTTTTGATTGGGCAACTCCTGTTGAGATAAGGCGTTTTCCTCAAGGCTGTTCACTGAGTCAGAGGAAGACTGTGATTTTACCTAAGGACTGGAGTCTTAACCTAGAATTCCTTCAAGCCATGAATAGTTTTTACAGTCTTCCTTTGGGGAGACCTGATTTAGGACCTCTGTCCCCTCCCCCGTAGATACCAAAACCCATGGTGCTCAAGTCCCTGATATAATGTGTAGGATTTGCACAGACTTTAAATCAGGATTTGCACAGACTTTAGATTTCTTACAAGGCCTGGTAAAATGTAAATGCTGTGTAAATACTTGTCATGCTGTGTTGTTTAGGGAGTCGTGGCAAGGAAAAACATCTGTACACGACCAGTCTAGGTGCAACCGTCAAACTTTTTAAAAAACTTTCAACTCCCAGTTGATTGAATCCATGGATACAGAGAACCCACTATATACATACTGTGGAGGTGGAATTGGGAATGTCTAATGGGAGTCAGAAGAATTTTCCGCCATGCGCGGTGGCACACACCTATAATCCTAGCACTTTGGGAGGCCGAGGTGGAAAATTTTTAATCCAAGTGTTTTCTGTTTGCCTGACATTTTTTTTTTCTTTTTTCTTTTTTTTTTAACAGACGGGGTCTCACTCGGTTGCCCTGGCTGGAATGCAGCAGCGTGACCATAGTTCACTGCGGCCTCAAACTCCTGGGCTAAAAGCATTTCTCCCAGCTCAGCCTCCTGAGTAGCTGGGACTATAAGCATATGCCACCATGCCTGGCTGAGTTTTTGTAGAGATGAGATCTCACTACGCCCAGGCTGGTATTGAACTCCTAGCCTCCGGTGATCCTTTCGCCTCAGCCTCCCAAGTAGCTGGGACTACAGACATTTGTCACCATGCTTGACTGATTTCTAATAAGGTTCGCTTAGACTATGATAAGTGATAGGGCCTCAAAAGAATGTCATGTTGGCTTTCTTAGCACCCTACGAATGTTAGCTTTCGATATGAAATTGAGGAGGCTTTAATTCAAACAAAAAATGAAATGGAACTTGGAACATTTTAATCTTTGTCAAATAACAGATTTTTACTTTTAACAGGTTTATACCAGATAATTATTTCCTTAGCTGTTAAAAAGGAATCAGGAAATTGTCATTTTCGAGTCAGAAAATAAGGTCACAGGAGAAACGTGAGGTGCTCCTCCCCGCCCACTGTGAAGCTAACAATAATTGTGTGCTAAAGCACAGACTCGCTGGGTGCAGTGGCTCACTCCTGTAATCCCGGCCTTTTGGGAGGTGAAGGTGAGAGGATTGCCTGAGCCCATGGGTTCGAGACCAGTCTGGGCAACTTGGCAAGACCTTGTCTCTACAATAAACCAAAAAATTAGCCGGGCATGATGGCACACACCTATGATCCCAGCAGCTACCTGGAAGGCTGAGGTGGAAAGATCGCCGGAGCCCAGCAGGTTGAGGCTGTGGTGACCGTGAGTGTGCCTCTGCACTCCAGCCTGGGCGACAGAGGGAGACTCCATCTCAAAAAATAAGTAAAGAAATAAATAAATAAAGCACAAATTCACCCCCTCCAAAAAAAAAAAATCTCTCACCAACTATTTAGCACTTTCAACCTGAAGTTAAATCTCTGCTTCATGGAAGGGGGCTTATTTTTCTGAAAGCAGGTGATGCCGGTGATGAATGATTTATGTTTACTCCATAGCTATGCTCACATGTCTGACTTTCTGCCTCTGTACAACATCTTTTGTGTCTCTAGGCAACAGGAAAGGATAAATTCCCAGAGGGAAGAGATAGAAAGGCAAAGGAAAATGCTAGCAAAGCGGAAACCTCCCGCAATGGGCCAGGCCCCTCCGGCTACCAGCGAGCAGAAGCAGCGGAAGAGCAAGACGAACGGAGCTGAAAGCGAGACGTATGTCCTGTCCATCCCTGGCATGAGCGCTGAGGAGCCTCCCCACTCCCCCCAGATACAGGGATCCCGCCGAACCCTTCCCTGGCGGGAGCTCCGAGGGGCCACCCCACCCCCAGGCACAGCTGTCCTGCTGAATCGCTGGAGGCGGTGCGGTGTGGCAAGGGTGCTCGGGCCTGCGCTTTCTCTGCAGTGACTAATGGATTTGTTCAACTTGCATGCATGGTGTGGAAAGTTAGCTGATTTTCTTGTCCTGCCCTTTATTTGAGAGTCTGAATGATAGGGAGAAGTAATGTCACTTCACCTGAGCTTGGGCCTTTGGCCACTTTGTAACAAGTAAGACCTCTTTCTGTTGAAATGCTGTTATGACTTGAGTGCCGCTCTAGGTGGTCCCGGCATGCTGGCAGTATCCTCTGGGATGGCCTGGCTCCTATTTTGGGCTGACGAATGCTCTTTAGGGCACTTAGTTAACAATTGCAAACTTAGGAGTAAGCCAGATAGACATATATGCACAACTGTTATTTTAGGGAAAGGACATTTTCCCCATGAGCCAGATCTTGAGATCTCACCAGAGCTTTTTCCTGTTCTGGGAACCTGAGGAAAACACCAGTATCTTAAGTCAGTTGTCTTTTTGTCTGCCAGTGAGCAGTGATTACATAGGAGGAGTAGAAATTGGAGCACAAGTGCCTTCCTTCTCCATTCATTTCTTCCTTTCTCTTTAGTTAAAAGAAAGTTTCATGTTCAAAGCTAGCTGCAAATAGAAGGTATAATGTTACATAACTTACTGACAACTCTATCTTTTGCCTGGTGTATGTTTTCCTATCAGTTCACAAAAACATACTTACCCACGCTGCATGCACTTCAAATGCACTAATCCTCGTGTGACATCACTGTCAGAAGTTCATGGTGTCCCAGCAGCATGTCTTCTTCCTGTCAGTGAGAAGGTGGCCTGGTGCCAGGCCTTCGTGCCAGGAAGCCCTTTCCTTGATGCTCAGTTAGCTAGTCTGTGTTCAAGGCTTATCTTACACAGTTCTGTTCTGGGATACAGAGCTAAAAGATGCACCCCACCCAGCCTTGAGAGCTCACGGTCTGTTTAGGAGATGAACAGATGAATAAACTAATAATTATGTTAACTATAGTTATAGAAGTACACATAGTGAGCTAAGCTTCACTCTTACAGTTCCGAGGATTTAAAAACTGGAGTCTAGCTGGGTGCAGTGGCTCATGCCTATAATCCCAGCACTTTGGGAGGTGGAGGAGAGAGGATTGCCAGAATCCACGGGTTCAAGACCAGCCTGTGCAACTTGGCAAGACCTCCTCTCTACAATAAATTTTAAAAAATTATCCAGGCGTGGTGGCACACACTCATGGTTCCAGCTACTGGGAAGACTGAGGCAGAAGGATCGCCTGAGCCCAGCAGGTCAAGGCTGCGGTGGCCATGAGCGTGCCACTGCATGCCAGCCTGAACGTCAGCATGAGACTCCCACTCAAAAAAATAAAAATAAAAACTGAAATCTGAACATGAAATATTTTCTTTAACAAGTCCAGAGTCGGGGCTCAGATCAGAAAGGCATTCTCCAGGCAGAGTCACTGGAGAGCGCTATCTTCTTTCACGGCTCCTATGTTGGTTTTGTGAGGGACTTCCCCTCTAGTATTACTTGAAAATTACTGAATGCTAGTGTACAAGCCATCGGCGTAGGAGGGACAACGAAGACACCAGCTGTTTCTTTGCCACAGAACAATAATTAGAATTCAGTCTAGGCTAGTGTGTGCCCGTGATCAGTTGCCATCTGGAGTCCTACCTGTGTCCAGTCCCTGCTGAAGCGCCTTCAGTCCAGGTTTTAATTAGAGCATTTGTGACTTGGCTCTCACCTCTGAGCAGAAGCCAGAAACAGACTTTGGAGGCCTGGTGTGAATCAGAAACAGGTTCCTGAGCCGGAGAGAAGTCTTAGCCTCGAAATTTCATTCTCCACGGTTTGCGGGGGTGAAACGGAGCAGTGGCAGGAGCTGTTTGTGCAGCCGTGAAGAGAGGAGCGCAGGACGCGAGCGGATGGGTTTGCTCGTGTCTTTCTGTTTCCTTTGAGCTGTGCCTCAGGGCTCTGCTTTGTAGCCCTTCCTGGTTGGTAGGGTGGGTGTTTCCTCTTCCTGTTGCTGCTTAGAGTATGTCTGAACAGTGACATCTGAGCTCCAAGGTGTGTGTGCTCTAGAAGGTGAGGTGGAGCTGGAGGACAGGGCACCACATCTCACGTGTTCGTCCTTGGGGTTTGCGGATGGGGGTGGAGTGGGTGGAATGAGAGACGTGCTGATGCCTGCCCAGCAGCCCCCCGGAGCCAGTTGGACTAGCTCTTTCTGGGTATTTTCACTTTCTTGCGTACTAGGCATAGGCTTTGTTAGATGGGCATTACCACTGGCTGTGTTTTCCGGAAACTGGGTTCAGAGGTTGAAGTTGCTAGCCCAAGGTCACATGGCGGGGCTGACTCTGATCTGCTGCTGGGTCTTTCTCTTTGTTTTTATAGTATCAAGGTTTAAGAGTGAGCATGAGCAATGAAGTCCATTGGCTTACTGCTTTGCCCTTAAAAAGGCTTTTCGACACAGTTTTTGGCTCTCTCTCCTGATGGGTTTTTATCTGAGTGATGTGTGGAATAAAATGCATCTTGTGCCCAAATGTGGCTCATTGATTTTTTTCCATTGTTTTTGCAAATTAGATTTCTGACTCCGAAGTCCTTCCTTCACATCACACCTAATAAATCACAGACTGAATATGCCTCACAGCATACTTGGACATGTCTCTTTGAATAGGCAGACTATGGTGTCAAGTCTTCCGCTGAAATTTCTACCATTGTTTTTCAGGTTAACGTTAGCAGAATACCACGAGCAAGAAGAAATCTTCAAACTCAGACTAGGCCATCTTAAAAAGGTGGGTGTGACTCACAACCCTGTCGGGAGCAGGGTATCTGCTGACCCTGGCTGTTGAGGCTTTTTGGGCTGGTGTGACAGCCGTACCACAGTTGCAGAAGTCTAGTGTGGCTGCTCACACTGCCACTACCACACTGGCCCAGTGGTAGGGCTCCTGCCTTGAGTTTCCAAGTCAGTTCCAGCACCTGGTGAGCACGTTTCCTTCCCCAGAGAGATGGAGCAGCAGATGACTCTGTACACATAATAAGGCTTCCCCGTGGCTTATCTTCAGAGGGAAGTTAGATATGCAACAAGAGCAGGTGGCCCTGCACGCTGTGGAGACTCCCGTGGTATTTTAGACCCCACAGCAGCACTCGTTTCTTAACTAAACTAGCTCAAAAGCGAAGGCCTCCTGCCAACCAGCCTATCACCCAGAGGTGCCTAGCATAGGCTTTGGTAGTGGTGGTGTTCCCCGAGATGTCTTGCCCGTACAGTACTAGGGATGCCTTTCAGGGTGACGCTTGTCGGTGAGGATTTACGAGACTGCTGCTGATATATGTGTCTTGGTTTTTTATTTCACATCATGGTTTTCATATCTGTTTTTCCACTGGGTTCTCGGATGTTGTTGAATAGGTAGACCTTAAGGCACCAAGTATACTCCACACTTAAGGAAGAAAACCTGATTTTTGTTTAAAACAAAAAAGAGTTTGCCTGCCTATATGTATATGCACATAACACCTCAGAAAACGGACACAAGACACTTGAGAGCGGTGACCTCCGGGAAGGGGCTGTGGAGGGGGATTAAGAGGGCGAAGACTTTGACTTTTCCACTGTTCTCCTCTGCGTGGTTTGAATTCTGTTATTTTTTTATGGGCTTATTTTGATGACTGAAGTTCTAGTTCTTAAGATAAATGTTTTTCGGTGCATAGCATCTTCCATGAGTGCTTCACAAGATAAATTTTTACTGCGGTTTGGAAATGAGACCCAAAGATGATGCTCCATGCGTTCTGAGCTGTTTCTTTCCTTTTCTCTTTAGGAGGAAGCAGAGATCCAGGCAGAGCTGGAAAGGCTAGAAAGGGTTAGAAACCTACATATCAGGGAACTAAAACGGATACACAATGAAGATAACTCACAGTAAGCACATGGGCTGTGTTGGGCTGGAAATTGCTAAGGGCTGTCCAACATAAGTCGCGTGGTCTGGAATGATGCTTTGCATAATGTGAGTTTTGGAAATGACTCCAAGCTTTGTGTGGTTTGCTTTGGTTTCGATGTACATACGCATATGAGATTTACATTGTAAATACATTTATGTATGCTTGCAGCATTTTTACATGAGTAGAGGTCAAACAGCAGTTTCGCAGTGGTGAATGGTTGGGATGCCTGCGTCTTGAGATTTACCTCCAGAACTCAAGGAAGAAAGCTTGAGCCCCAGTGTGGATTCTGGAAGAAATACTGGGTTGAGATGATACTACGTTTCTGAATGACCTTCCAGTATTGAGGTTTTAAGTCAGACTCTTAAACTGAGCACATTGATCATAGCCTAACACCCATCTTTGCATGCAAGTCATTCGAGAGGATTGGAACCAGGCAGAGGAGACTGCCAGTGGGCAGGCTCTCAGGAGTGGGCTCTCAGGAGTGGCCTGTCCTTCCCCCATTTTCCTGGCCCGGAAACCTTCACTTAGCACAGGTCATGTCCCTTGGTTGGCTGATGTCAGCCGTGGGCCTGGCCTTTGTACAATGTCGGACGGCAGCAGGGAGCGCTTACGAGCACTCTCTGGGTCAGACCAGGAGCTGAGGGCTGAGTGCCCTTACATTCACTCATTCATCCTTCAATACACCCACCTTAATATGCGGGTTGGAAGCCCTTCTAGGGAAATGCAGTCAGGTTGACCAGGGATCCGTGGCCAGCATAGCCCAACAAGCCAAGCCTGGAGCTTTCTGGTCCAGACTACCTTACAGTGATGGTGTCTGCCCCACAGGCATGCCGCTTTCTCAAAACCAAAATAAAGTAATTTCAGGATTAATGACGAGACCGTTTAAGGAACTAGGTAAAAATATTTTAAAGTTTACTTTTGCTGGAATTTGTCATTTTGTAGTCATATTGTCAGGAAACTGTACAAGGTGGAATCTCACGCAGTCGTGTTCTAGGTCTTCTGTGTTAAAGAGAGGATAATGCACGCACATGGCATGTGGGACGGGATGTCAAACGTCTTGGAGTTTCACCGTCTGTGTTTTGAAGTGGTGGGAACAGGTGGCTCTGAGTGGCTTGGGGAGCCAGGTAGCGCGGTGTGAGAATCCCCAGTCTAGCCTCATCGACCCCTGTCCCCAGTGTATAGCCTGGCAGGACGGGAGGGAGGTCAGGAGGAAGCATGGGTCTAACATGGCCACAGTGGACTACACCTGAGTCCGGGTGCTCTGGCGGCTGCTGCCATTCTGCCTCTGGGAACTGTGTGACTTAGTGACTAGCAGCACCTGGAATCATGTCCACAATGAGATGTTCTGGAAATTTTGCAAGTATGGACGACTATTGTCCTTGGTCTCAAGATGTTATGTATTCCCTGTTTCCACAGATTTAAAGACCATCCAACGCTAAATGACAGATATTTGTTATTACATCTCTTGGGTAGAGGAGGTTTCAGTGAAGTTTACAAGGTAAGTGTGAGGAATTGGGTGCAGTTACTAAGGGCGGGATTTTTGGCTGTTACCAACTGGGAGAACCCTTAGAATGGAAATAACTGTACTGAGGTCTATGGGTTGAAACTCGAGAACTGTAAAAACCTGTGTCTGGGGAAATGGCCTCCAGTACACCCTGGTGACTCAGCAGGCCACAGCATTTCACCCTGTCCTCAGACTGAGGAATCAATAGCTAGAGATACGCAAAACAAGGCACTCGTGTCAGTGTGGCAGAGCCGTGGTGACTTTTATTCTGATTCTGTAAGTTCTGCCTCATCCACATTTGCTGGAAATGAGTATTTCCGAGCAACCCCCTTGAGTCCCCTCCTACTATGGGAGCTTTTCTGTCCTCTTGACACATCTTGTTTTCTAAAGAAAAAAAAAGAAATGAGTATTTCCTTTATTGATTTTGTTTTTTGTACAGATTAGATGTGTCAGAGTTACTTCCTGCTTGATACCTGCTTTTGGCTTGGAAACATTCTCACCTGGGACGTTTGCTAGCACGTACCAGGGCTGGTGTTCTGGAAGAGTGTCCTGGCTCAGAGGGCCTTGGCCAGCCGCAGGCAGGGCATGGGCAACCACCGCTCCACACGGGGTTCCCCGAGTGAGGGCTCCTCTGCCTTGCCCATGGAGCCACCGCTGCATGAAGTCTCCGTGTGTTACTGGCACCCAACTGTGAAATGCAGGACTGGCTCACCAAGGGGTCTTCACTGCATGGTGGGGAGCCCTCTTGCCCAAGGTCCAGGCCTCACTCTATGATTTTCGTTCTGCCCATGGGAAGTCACATGGGGAAGTCTCCTGAGGACAACAGTTCTCATATCAGATGAAAACAGTACGACGAGTTTGGCTGCTTTTTGTCGTGATTGTGTATGGATATAATTTGTGTAAGTGCACAACCGGGGCACTGAGTGCATTCCCAGTGCCGCCCAGCTGTGCTCGCTGCTCTGTGCAGCACTGTCACAATCCCGGCACCAGCTGTGAGATCTTGCAGTGGTGCCTTCGTGTGTCCATCTGTGCTCTTGGGTGGTGGCCATGGCCGTCCTCTGTGCCAGTGGCTTTGTCAGGCCCTACGTCCTGGCTCTCGCTCTGTGGAGTGACTGTGGTGCTTCTCTTTTCCCTGCTGAGCCCTTGGCCCTGCTCTGGGGCTGTTGGCTCCATGAGAGTCCGTGGCACGACTTGCACAGCCCAGCAGGTCTGCAGGGAAGCAGCAACTGTCTCCAGAGTTCCTTCTATAAACCACAGTCTGGGCAGAGTTTCTCCCCGTCTTCGGGCAGTTTTGTTAATTCACTTTTCTAGGGAATCTTGTTTCATCAAGATTTTAAAAAACATGATCGGGCAAGTGAGAAAGCAAAAAAAAAAAAAAAAAATCACACCTTAGTTTTTTCTCTTTTTCTGTGAAATGGTTATTTTGTGTCTCTTTTTTTTTCTGTGAAATGGTTATTTTGTGACGGATGAGTCGGAGTCTTTATTACCTTTCTTTTCCCCCTAAGAATCAGCTTTGTATTTTGTTGAGCAGATATCTGTTTGGCTTGTTTTCTGTTTCCTTAATTTGTGCTTTTGTTCCTCCCTTTCTTCATTTCCATTTATTTTCACTCTTGGTGTCACATATTTAGTTTATTTCCTTCATAATTTTTTTTTGTGGCTAAAAAAGCAGATAACATGAAATGTGCCATCTTAACCCTTGGTGAACATGTGCTTCCATGGTGTTCAGCACAGCTGCGTTGTTGCAAAGCAGATCTCCAGAACTTTTCCATCTTGTAAAATTGAAAGTCTGTAGCCGTCACCAGCTCCCCCTCAGTCCCTGGGAACCTCTGTCTACACTGTTTCTGCATGTGAGCACTCTTCGTGGGACCGAGGCATGTGCGTGTTTTAGGGCTGGCTTGTCTCACTTAGCCTAATGTCCTCGGGTTCGTCTGTGCTATGGCATGAGATGGGGTTCCTTCCTCTAAGGCTGAGTCATGTTCTCTCGCGGGACCACCTCTCTTTATACCTTCCTCTGTGATGGACGCCTAGATTACTCCTGCCTCCTGCCTGTTGCGGGTGTGCAGATAGCTCTTTACAACCCTGCTTTCATTTCTTTTTCTTTTATAGGCTGATTCTGAAACAGTGACCCTGATTTCAGTTCTTGTAGGTTACATGCCTAGAAGTAGGATATTCCTCTTCAAAGTCATCAAAATTGGGTCCTGGTGCTTCCCGGTTATTTGGAGTGATCCATCCCATCGTCCTATTTCTTCACATGTTTCAGCACCTCTGAAGCCCAGATGCTTCTGGCAGTGATGTGCACACTTAGTGCAGTTATTCTCTTTCTGTCCTGCACTCTCTAAAGTGCCTTCTTAAGTCGGTGGTGGGCCACAGCATCTGGGCTTGGACATGGGAGGTTGTTGGAGACAGTGACACCGGAGGGCACGAGCGCCCTCGCCAGTGGGTGGCATTTGTGGTTGCTTGTGGCTTGAGGTGGTTTTCTGTTATAGTATCATGATGGTAGCTTGCAGTGGCCTTCGTGCGCCAAGGAAGGCAAGTGCAGTGGCTTCCATTTCCATGAAGTCAGATGTGCTGCGTGCAGAGGGCTTTGCACCCTCGCCACCTGCTTTGGAGTTGGTGTGACTGAGAAGCCTCTCCCTGTGCAAGCAGCCCTGTCTCACGTGTGCGTCACCTGGGAGCACACGGGGACGGCTCGGGAGCAGCGCGTGCTGGGCTGCGGCTCCTGCGCCTGTTGCTTCCTTTGTGTGTTTGTGGACGCTTCAGTGCTGGACCTGAAGCTTTGATTGGAAAAGTTCTCTTGAGTGGGGGAAGTCCCTGATTGTATCGGAACACTACTTTCCCAAGTCATGGTCTACTCCCAGCTTCCTCTAAGCATCTCTGTCACCTTCCCCTGCGCTCTACGGTGCTTCCGGCGCAGAGGTGGGCTCCAGGGCAGCCCGGTCCTCTCGGACGGTATCGGAGAAGCGACTTGGTGACTGGTTCAGGCTTTGTTGGAGTCACAAACTGCTTTTCACCTGCCGCGCCTGGGGGCAACCCTAAAGGCAGGGCTGGGGTGTTTGTCTTTCTTTTTGGAAACAGGGTGCCACACTCGGGCTGCTTTGTAAACAGTGGCGCCAAGAGGTGTTCTGGGGCTGCTCTCAGGGAGGCCTGCAGTGGGGTCCCCAAGAACAGGGGGCGGCCATGGGGGAAGGGCGCCCGCTGGGAGGGGTGTGTCCAGGGGAGGCTGGGAGCCCTCCCCGTCTAGGCTAGCCTTCTGATGGTGGCGGAGGCCTGGTGTTGGTCTGAGCTCCTCAGTGCCAGGGTGTCTGGAGACTGAACTGTCTAATCACCAGTCTCAAGGTGGCTGCAACACTGAAATGAGTGCGTGATGTGTTGTCATTTGCTGCTTGGGTGTATTTACTCATGTACTTTGGACTCTGACGATGCCACGTGTGAAAATACAAGCTTTGGGTTCGTTGCCCATAAGTCTCGTCAGCATCTGTCCAGAATATAACTTCTGTCTTTTCCTTACAGGCCTTTGATCTAACAGAACAAAGATACGTAGCTGTGAAAATTCACCAGTTAAATAAAAACTGGAGAGATGAGAAAAAGGAGAATTACCACAAGTAAGTGATCCTAGGGTGTCATGTTTCTCTGAATTCAGTAGTCCCTGTGCTTTGAGCATTGCACTAAGAGCTTTAGGTGCATGGATGTTGGTTTTTGTTTTACTTAATCCTTATAACTGCCCTAGGAGAGCAAATATGTTCTCAGTGTCACTACTGAGGAAACTGATGCTTACAGAATTGAGTCCCAGTTGAGAAATGACTGGAAGCCAGTGTATAGATGACACCTCTCATCCCAGCACTTTGGGAGGCCGAGGCAGGAAGATTGGTGGAGCCCAGGAGTTTGAGACCAGGAGGCCAAGGCTGCTGTGAACCATGATGGTTGTGACTTCACACCAGCCTGTGCAACAGAGTGAGACCCCAACTCAAAAGGAAAAAAAATAAAGGCTGGGTTGGTATTTATTTATTTTTATTTTATTTTATTTTATTTTGAGTTGAAGTCTCACTCTGTCACCCAGACTGGAGGGCAGTGGCCGCTCTCGGCCACCGCAGCCTCGACCTGCTGGACTCCAGCGATCCTTCCGCCTCAGCCTTCCAAGTAGCGGGAACTACAGGCGCGCGCTACCACGCCCGGCTAATTTTTTTATTTATTGTAGAGATGAGGTCTCGCCAAGTTGCCCAGGCGGGTCTCAAACCCGCGGGCTCCGGCAATCCACTCACCTCGGCCTCCCAAAGCGCGGGATTACAGGCTGAGCCACCGAGCCCGGGTTGGTATTTAAATCTTGGCTTCCCTTAATCCAAAGTCGTAGGCTCTCATCCTACTTGACCATTGTGTCTAAAAACAGCCGTCAGAGCTGGGGGCGCTTTCTGCTACCTGAGTCACTTTCTTGTGGAAGGGACTAGACTGGGGGACCTGGTGTGCCTCAGTGGTGCCTTTGGACTGGTTCAGCCCCTCGGCACTGCACTCTCCTCCCCATCACAGTCTGCCCATCTCAGAGTTGGCAGTCTTCAGTGTTCCGCTTTCTGAGGCGGCCTGTCTTCAAGTGCCACAGGTGCCAGCTGTTGCCCGCGGGGGGAGTAAGGGGAACTCTGTGGGGTGCAGGCTGTGGGGACATGCAAGGCGCGGAGCACTGTGTCCACTCCTGCTGGGTTCTCGCATACCTGCTGTGCTGTGGTGGCCCCCAGGGGCCAGATGCCACCTCCCTGCTGCTGGCAGTGCTGACCTAGACGGGTGCTCCCAAGAGGAAGGGGCAGCTCATTGGATAAACATCGTGACCTCTGCCCAGGTGGTCTCGTTTTTCTCCACGTTGTGACTCAGAGCCACAGCAAGTCTGACTCGGTCTTGGAGGCGGCTTCCAGCCTGGACTGGGCAGTCCACTGATGCTCGCCAGGCCCAGGAGCCGTACTGTTGTAGCCGGGTGGGGAGGGCACCTGGGCCAAGAGAAACCAGCTCAGCAGGGGGCGGGGTGGGGCGCCCGCGCGGGTGACTTAGGTGACAGCAGCTGCCACCCAGATGCTTCTAGGAGCAGCCACATTATGACAAGGACATTCAAGTCATGTGGCGTATGGGGTCTGGCACACAGCAGGAAAGGCTGGGAGGCGCCCAAGAAGGGAGCCATGTGTCATGGCAGCCAGACACGCACGGTCCCTGTAGGGATTACAGAGTGCCAGTGTCTAGAAAGATGCCCTCAAGGGACCGGCTGGGCAGCCTGTGTGCTTCTCCAGCCCCAGGACCCAGCTTGGGGTTGCCCTCGGGGTATAGATGCCTGGTGGCTGCAGGTGGGCTTCTGCTCACCTTGCCCTCTGAGACCAGGAGGTGACCTGGCTGGCACACGGCGAGTCCCAGGGTGAGGATGGGGTCCTTCTGTGCGTTGCTCCACCAGGCAGCCCCTGAAGGGTGGTCGTGCATGTCCTGGCTCTACTGTCACAGCTCCAACTGGCCTTGGTGTCTTCCCACTGTTTCCTCATCAGAGGGGAGGTCCTGGCGCCTTCCCGGCCATGGAGCCCTCTGGGCAGGGGACATTTCTCGTTGGCAGACACTCAGAGACTTGCTGGGCTCTTGGGGCCTCCATCTCACCTTTCTTGGAGAGCATGGTAGGAAATCATACCGATGAATTTCAGGCCGTGGATAATGGCAAATTGACAATTGTCCTTCATTCCTGAATGTAAAGGAGGCTTCTATCAAGCCCATCAGGGTTTTGATGGGTGCTTTAAGAATTCATTGTTGGCCAGGCGCAGTGGCTCAGTCCTGTAATCCCAGCACTTTGGGAGCCCGAGGTGAGGGGATTACCTGAGCCCACGGGTTCAAAAACAGTCTGGGCAACTTGGCGAGACCTAATCTTCACAATAAATAAAAAATTTAACCGAGCATGGCAGTGCATGCCTGTGGTCCCAGCTTCTTGGAAGGCTGAGGTGGGAGGATCGTCTGAGCCCGGCAGGTCAAGGCTATGGTGGCTGTAAGTGTGCCACTGCGCTCCAGCCTGGGTGGCAGAGTGAGACTCCCACTCAAAAAAAGATTTCAGCATTGAGCCAGACAGCAGCACTTGTCAGTGTCGGCGAGCACTTTAAGCCACGAAGATGCTGTAACCCTGCATAGTGAGGACGGCAAGGCCTTCTTGTTGCTCTTCTGTTCAAGGGGCGACTTCCCCGTCCACCTGGAGTCAAGAAGAGAGATGCACGAGGGAAGGCGGTGCTTGTGTCGAGCTGTGGATGTTGTCCTGCCCCTTCGTTGCTCTCTCCCTTTCCTCCCAGACAGAAACTGATTGGGTTGCACATCTGCATTGTGGACATGGCAGTGGGCGTTCCCAAGTTTCTTTAACGCTCCCGAACAACAATTTTAAAATTTTGCAGTAGTAAAGTTTCATGTAAAGGCATCCACAAAAACAGTTGCTATCTGGCCGGGTGCAATGGCTCACACGTGTAATTCCCAGCACTTTGGGAGGCCAAGACAGGAGGACTGCTTGAGTCCAGGAGTTTGAGACCAACCTGGGCAACACAGCAAGATCTTGTCTCTACAGAACATCATCTGGGCATGGTGGTGCACGCCTATAGTCCCAGCTACTCGGGAAGTTGAGGCAGAAGGATTAACTGAGCTCAGGAGGCCAAGGCTGTAGTAAGCTGCAGTTGTGCCACTGCACTCCAGCCTGGGCCACAGAAGAGACCACGACTCAGATTTAAAGCAATAATAACAATAGCAACTTATACCGAATGGGTATGCTCTTGTATGGTTTTTCATCTTGAAAGTCTGACTGTATTATCCACTTACAAGAGAGCAGAACCCACTTTAGTGGGTGAGTTCCTCCTGGTGTCTTAAAGTTTCTGTATTTATCGTGCACTCATCCCTTGGGAGCGAAATCAGCCCAGGAGGTGAGGGTGGCGGCCCTGAGCTAGGCAGTGTCGAGGGTGTCCTGCAGGGATGCTCCGTGGATGCCCTGAGCTGGCGGGGACTCCGCGGGACACGTGGCTTCTCGCGCGCACCTGCCTTCTTCCACTTCCTCGGTTTTCTGTACCTCGGTGGAGAACCCAGCCTGTGCTCCTGAGTGCGCGAGATCGGGAGGCTGAGTCAGAAGGGCAAAGCGTGGCAGGCTCCCGCGTGGCCCAGCGTCTGCGGGTCCGCAGCCTGGCTTTGGAACACCCCCTCTGCCCGACCGACTGCGGTGTCACCTGAAGAGCGCAGGTGTGGGGCGGCGCTGGCAAGCGGGGCCGGGCCGGGCCGCATTTGCTCAGCCTCTGCCGGACGTGCCGTGGGTGTCCTGTCTAGTGATGGTGACACCAGGGCTGGGGGGGGCCAAGGCGATGCTGGGGCAGGTGGGGGCAGAGCGGCGGCAGGAGCCGTGCACTACTCCCAGCACGTGTGCATCCTGACGCTGCTGTGCCCACCCCTGTCCTGGAAAAACACAAAGATGATGACCTGAAGCATCAGAGGAAACAGAAACAGCCTGATGTGGCCTCTAGAGGAGAAGCCCAGTTAGCCAGTGTCCCCAGGTCCTGCCCCTCCTGCCCTCCCCTACTTTCTGGATTCGAGTCTACCCTGTGTGTTTCTGAGGCATTGGGATATACGGGTGTCAGCAGATGCCACTCTGCTTGGCTTTATTTTGCCGCCCTGTGGAAAGTCTCTCCTTTCTGACCCTTGCCTTATAGCAAAAGTTCCAACCCAGATGGTATCGGAACACTTAATAGAAGACATTCAAGCTACTCTCTTTGCAAAGAAGAGCTAAATACTTGATGAATGATCGGTAATTATATCGTATAAACACCTTCCGTTGTTCTTTTAAAATTCTGAGAACTTGTCACCAGGCACTTTGTTGTGTGACCATCAAAGCTTGCATCGCGTAGACCTGGTAGTAGACCTGGGCAGCCTGCGACTGTGTGGAACACTTTGGGCGGTTAGAACATGCTGGCAAGGATTCGTTAGCTAAACCTGTCTAAATGTAGGCAGGGCCCTGTAAAAACGTGGCATAGGAGTTGGCAGACAGTCACCTGTGTAGGACACTCGTCATAAACAGAGCTTGCAGGACTGGAAGCTGCTTGGGTGAGCCGTGAGTGAGGGGCTAAGTAGGAAGGCCTGGACACGGGTGTGGCCCCTGGGACTGTTTCATAGGCAGGCGCTGTGCACTGGGCTAGGCTGGATTCACTGTAAAAGACTTTGTCTTCAATACTAAATGCACCGTAGCTTACTGTAACTTCTTTACTTCAGAAGTAAAAAAAACTGAAGTAACTTCTTTACTTCAGAAGTAAAAAGTGAATTTTTTTAACTTTTTGATGCTTTTATAATACCACTTAACTTAAAACAGAAACACATTGTACAGCTGTATAGAAATACTTTCTTTTTTTTTTTTTTTCGAGTTGGAGTCTCACTCTGTCACCCAGACTGGA